CTCTCTCTCTCTCTCTCTCTCTCTCTCTCTCTCTCTCTCTCCTTCTCTCTTGGCGCAAATGCGCGGAGGGTGCGAGGGATGGAGGGCGAGGGTTGCGCGACGCCGAGCGACGCCGGGCGACGCCGAGCGATGTGCAGCGGGCGGACGCACACGGACGGATGGACACGCGCCGGTAACGCAATTACCGTGACGTTAATTTACTCAATAATCGCAGAAGCAACCCCGTCTAAATGTCGGCACGCGTCCCTCGACCCTAATCATAGCCGGCCGTCGCGTCGTCACGCCTGCGGAAAGAGAGATATCGTCGAGATATGCGAAAAGCCGAGATTCGAGAGATTAACGATAATTAAGACCGTTAAAGTGTAAGATATTTCTCTCATCTCTTTCCTTTCTCTCTTTCTCTCTCTCTCTCTCTCTTCTTCTTTTTCTTAAGATATTTATGCTACCTTCATATATGGAAAAAAACGTTACGCTTATCTCACCAAACAATTTTCTAAGCTCAGTCAACGTCCACCTCTAACGTCTAGCTGCTTTTAATTCATTACACATCACACATTTTCGGATCTACTACGTGTTTATCGTTCAGGTACAAAGATAATATATGACATAGTCATCTCGTCAAACGCCACGCGCTTGTACCGCCATTTGGAAAGCGCCCCGTATACACGAGCCGCTAAGTAATTTAATCCCACGTTTCAGCTCGTCCTCTCGTCCAAGATTCGATACACCGATACAGCCTGTCGTTGAGTGGAGTACCGCGCGTCGTACGAGGAACCTGAGACTATGTTTCGATGAGGGATGCGGGAGTTAAACCGAAGCGTTGCGATCGTAACGATGGTATACGCGAGAAAGCGATCGGTTTCGGTCGTCCCCTCGAGTATATATCGACACTTTCGACATGATGGAGCCTTATCTACGAGATAAAGAGACGGAGAGAAATGGTTTTGAAATACTCTTACCCCATCGAGGAATCGTCGCGCGTCGCGCACGTATAACGGATGGCCACGCCGAGCGGGCAAGCCGGGCAAGCGTACTCTTACATATACATGCTTGCACTTTGTATTATTACATCTACGTGCGAGAGTGCGACAGAATGGGGAGAAATCGCGAATGCCGAATACAGAAGGATCGGAGTTCCTCCTGCCCTTCCGCGCGCCCTCCGGCCGCGGCCGCCTCCTCGGCGCGGGACGTACGCCGTTGGATTCACGAATACCCGAGCGCGTGTCCATGGAAACGAGTGGCCGAGACCCGCCCCCGGGATCGTCGCGGAACCAACCCGGGCGACGGTGAGCGTCGCGACGCCGGCCAATGCGGGACGTCAGGCCGGCCTCGAAACTCGGATACATTCGGATCCAAGCGTTACCCTTCCACGGTACGCCAACTGGCAGGAGGGGCCGCCGATCATCGCCGTTGCGGGGGGTTGAACGTTGAATCACCCTGATACGCGCTCACCGATACGCGCCTCGCACGATGTCTCGATCAACGACGGCGAAAGACAGTGAGCGACAGACGGCGTCTCGCGCGATTCATACCTGATCCATGGCACGATCCGCGACCATCATTCGTCAATCACGATTCCGTCGGGGAAGAAACTCGCGGAACGTACGACGTCCGATTAGTTGAAACCAGGTCGGGCTAAAGTGGTCACCGACTTGCCGAGGGTGTCGCCGATCGCGATACGCACTTCGGGAGAAAAGTGATCAGTTTCGAGAGTGAACCGCGAGATTCCATCTTACCGCGGTATCGGAGGTCGAATAAACGTCCAATTACTAGGAGGTTTGGAGCCAGTCCTCTCTCTCTTTCTCTCTCTCTTTATATTGAGAGAGGGGAGTTTAAGAAAAAGAAGAACCGGCATCGGCATTTAAACACCCAAACGCAGTTCGTTGAATCTCTAGCCCTGGCCGTCTCTTTTGGCACGAGAAATTGTGTTCGTGTCTTGGATCGTCGCGGCTGGCAAGGATCTCCCTTCGATTTCGCGACCTTGGCGTCGCGCCAAGACACCCGGGCGAGAATGTAACCGCGACGATCGAGGCATGTACGCGCCGTCGTAGCCGCAACGTTGTGTCGAACGAGAAAAGATGCAGTCGACCTGCCAGCAGCAACAAGCTCAGCCAGGCCAAAACGGAACTTCCGCCAGCAGGACATCGTTCCTCATCGAGGATATCCTTAGCCGCGGCACCGTCACTCCGCATACCCATCATCATCAGCTGCACCATCAGCACTTGACGTCGACCTCCGGCCACGGGCAACACCATCAGTATCAGCAGTTCGCCAGTTTGCTCCCCGGTTATCCCGCGGCACCACCTGCCGCGGCGGCCTTCTTCTTGGGTCCGCTCTTCGGTAGCGCTGGCATGGGGGTCGGTGTGGTGCCAGGGGTCGGGGAACTAGCAGCTCTTAAGCATTGCCGACGACGGAAGGCTCGGACCGTGAGTACATCCTCGATATTCCCTTCTCTCACCCCGTTCACGCGAGCCGACGCGTCTGCATCTAAAGTAGAAATCGAGACGTCGCGCCTACGAAAAGAGCAGTTTGGCTAAAATACCTAAAAATTTATAAGCTAAATACAGATCTAAAAATAATTTTGTTGGATTATTAAAATAATTATATAAAATGTGGCTCAAGCTGGTCGCTAAAATATTAAAACTTTTATCAGTATTGCTCATTATATTTGAGTGTTGTACATAATAATTTTGATAGTCTAACGAGATTATTTTCAAATCTGTATCTAGTTAAATTTTTTAATACTTTAATAAAATCGTTCTTTCCATGCACGAATAACACTTTGCATTCGTAAACTGTAAACGTTAAGTAAATTTTCTACACGAAACAAAAAACAAATTTTTCCAAATTATCTAGAAACTTAGACACCAAAATACAGATTTGAAGATAATTTTGCCGGTCCATCACAATTTTATATAATTCAAGCGTAATGAGCAATAATTCTGCAAAATGTTTTAACATTGTAGCAACCGGCTTGAATAATTATTTTGCTTATAGCATAATTATTTTAATGTGACTCCAATAAAATTATTTTTAGATCTGTATCTAGCTAAATCAGATAGTTTAACGAAACTCTTCTTTACGTATCAAATCGTTGATTTTAAAATCAATCAGAGACAAAACATAAATCAAGCTCGTGTAAATGCTGCATGCACCTATTTACAACATGAGGCATATATCTGACGTCGGATAAACGATTCTTAGTTTGTTAATTTCTTTCCCTTCTTATCGTTCTAGTTAGGTATTTACTTTTTTATTTATACTGTTTTTTTTTCTTTTCCCTCCACTTATCTCTCACGATTGTAGGAGATAAGAGTTTGGTTCCTTACGGCTTCAGGTATTCAGTGATCAGCAGCTGGCAGGTCTAGAAGCGAGGTTCGAGGTACAGAGATATCTTAGCACGCCCGAGAGAGTAGAGCTGGCGGCGGCGTTGCACTTGTCGGAGACCCAAGTGAAAACATGGTTCCAGAATCGACGGATGAAGCACAAGAAGCAGCTGAGGAAGCTGAACACAAGCGGCAGCAACAATTCCAATTCAGGCCAGCAATCGATATCCGTAACGTCGCCCGCTGGTGAGTCAAGTCCACCTCATTCTCCGCGTTCGCCGCTTTTGCTTCGACGGATGGGAAAATGTAAATCGGTCCCGTTGCATTATATGCGGTGCGACGTCACGAGCGTGATTTTCGAGGGAGAGAGAAACGGATCTGGAACGGCTGTAACGAGGCGTTTACGGCGCGCTATTGAACGATAATGCTTAAAGGACATCGCAATCTACGGCATCTACGGAATTTCGCATCGAGTAGCTTCCGCAACGCGTAACTTAATTACCGACAAATTAAATGCGCGTATCGACTTTTCGATAAACAGCTGCGAGCAGTATTCCCGCGCCGCGAGCTAATTAACTTGGATTAATGACGCCGTGTCCTAGATAAGCGGGGAAACTCATGAATGGCTGCGCGCCGTGCCGTTACGATAGAAAAACATTATACGCGTACCTAGATCTAGGCTAAACTTGGATAAGACTGCCATCTTCATAATATAACATTGTTCGTTAAAGATAACCAAAATTTAAGTATGCTCTTTGCATCTTA